GTTCATGGTCCCCCCCCCCTGCCGGGGGCACTTGCGGCGCGGGCAGCTGCCTGCGAAGGGGCGCGGGGATACTTACCTTGCTGCTAGCGATAAGGCACTTTTTTAGCATCGTGTTCTCTGTGCCCGAGCCGCCGACAGAGCCGGGCTGCTGGCACCTCCACCAAGGGCTGTGGGAAACGCAGCCGCGATGTCGGGGTAGGCAGGCGCCGGGGCCAAACCTGACCTCACATCCTTCCGGACGCCGATGAGAGGCGGAGAAAGGCTGAAAGCAAAACACAAAAGCTGTACTAACTCCAGGAAACCCCTGACGTGTTTCTGCACTTGTTGAAGCTGGGGCTGAATTGCTGGTTCCACCTTAAACAAGGAGTTTGAGAACAGAAGGAGGTGACGTGGGGGATCCTGGATCCCTTGAGCCAGCGGAGTTGCAGGACACCTCCAGAAACGCGTGTCATGCAGGGACCTCCCTCCCACCTCCGAGAGACCTTCCTCCAGCCCCAGCCTGATCAGGCATTTGGCTTCTTGTTTCTTCTCCCTTCCCCTTAGAAATCACAGGGACATTTCCCCCTCGCAGGGGAATTGGACTTCCCCTCTGGTGGGAGCGAAGCCTCCCAGAAACTCTCCCCTGTGTGTGGGAACTGTAAGAGTCCCTGAAAGAAAGTCCAGAGAGACGTGAAGCAGCTATAAATAATCCCAGTGGAGGAATGTTTTCCTAGGATCACAGAATGCTTGAGGTTGGAGATGCCTCTGGAGATCATCTGGTCCAACCTCAACCTAGAGTTCCTTGCCCAGGACCATGTCCAAATGACTTTTGAATTCCTCCAAGGATGGAGAGTCCAGAACATCCCTGGGTGACCTGTGCCTGGAGTTGGTCATCCTCACAGTCAAAAAAGTCTTTCCTGATGTTCAGAGAGAACCTCCTGTGTTTCCGTTCATGCCCATTGCCTCTGCTCCTGGCACTGGGCACCACCGAGAAGAGCCTGGCTCTGTCTTCTTTACTCCCCCCATCAGGTGTTGATACACACTGACAAGATCCCCCTGAGCCTTTTCGTCTCCAGGTTGAACAGCTCCAGCTCTCTCAGCTTCTCTTCATACGAGAGGTGGCCCTTCGTTGGTCTCTCTCTCCAGTATGTCCATGTCTCTCTTGTACTGGGGAGCCCAGCACAGGACCCAGCACTCCAGGGGTGGCCTCACCAGTGCTGAGCAGAGGGCTAGGATCACCACCCTTGACCTGTTGGCAACATTCCTCCTAATGCAGCCCAGGATGCTGTTGACCTTCACTGTGACCCCATGGTCAACTTAGTGTCTCCCAGGCCCCCCAGGGCCTTTTCTGCCAATCTGCTTTCCAGCTGGTCTCCCACCAGCATGACCTGGTGCCTGGGCTTGTTCCTTCCCAGGGGCAGGACTTTGCACCTTCCTCTTGGTGAACTTCATGAGGTTCCTGCTGGTCGATTTCTCCAGCCTGTCCAGGTGCCTCTGGGTGCCAGCACGACCCTCTGGCACATCCGAACCTCCCAGTTCGGTGTCAGCAGCAAACTTGCTGAGGGTACACTCTGCCCCATCAACTGGACCAGTAACAAAGATGTTGACCAGGACTAACCCAGTATTGACCCTTGAGGTACACCACCAGTGACTGGCCTCCAACCAGACCTGGTCCAGCTGTTTGGCCAGTTTTCAACGAAGCAGCCCAAAGATGCTCAAAATCAAATGCTTGCAACAAAAGAAGCACCTGTGTATCTCAGGAAGCCACAGGGAGCCGAGAGCGGCCGCCCCCTTTGAGATGTGCCAAGGTAGGACATCTCTCACTGGCAGCTTCTGGGAAAAGGAAAGCAAAGAGCAAAAAAAACCCGCAAATCAAACAGTGTTGGCACAGGCTTTCCGTGCAACCGTTTATTGCCGTGCAAGAGGGATGTCAAAGCCACCGGCGCAATGCTGGTCCCCCGAGGACGGATGCTCCAGCATGCCCCCCGGGCGCATCGCCGCCTCCATCACTGCAGAGCTGGGGACACCTGGGAGAGAAGATGGGCTGCGGTGACTCTCGGCCGGAGCAGGCATGGGGATGCCCCGGGGTGGTGACACCCACCATGGTGCCGGCAAGCCGGCCCAGTCCCAGCAGGGCGAGGGCAAAGTGGACGCAGTTGCAGGTGACGGCATCGTACTCCACCGCCTGGTCCATGGCCACCCGGATCCGCCGCTGCAAGGCAGCCGCATCCAGCCCTCCCTTCCTCCGCAGCACCTTGGCTGGGCCCCGCGTCCGCAGGAGGTAGCTCTTGCCATGCTTGGCCACGATCCCCGATGGGGACGTCCCCGAGCTGCCTGTGGAGCAGAGGAGACGCTGTACTCCATGTCCCCTCCACGGGGATGTCCCCATGCCACGACCACCTCCTGGGGCTCACCTTCCAGGTGGATGATCTCCCCGTCACCGCAGTAGACGCCGGCGTGGGCGCCCCACCAGCCGGGGCCCCCAGAGGCCAGCGGGAAGAGGAAGAGGTCCCCAGGCTGGGGCTTGGCCACCCCATCAGGGACCAGGTTGAAGTGCTGGCCCAGCAGCCCCTCGCAGAGGAAGAACGCCGTCGTGCTCACTGCCCCGGCCACCGCCTGGGGACCCATCTGTGTTTCAGGGCCACCAGTGCCCCGGGGACAGCGGCAGCAGCAAGCACCCGCAGCGCTCTCAG